CTATCCATAGCCTTTGCAGAGAAAGCGAAGTACAGGCACTGGCCTTTCAGGCAAACTAACTTGCTGAAGATAGTGCAGGGAGTTGTGCAGCCTTAAAACCCCGGTCAGAAGGGAGTGAGATGGGTCTCTACCCAGGCTTGGTGACAGCTAGGAGCCAGAAACCTTTCAGCAGGTGCCCTTTGAGGGACCATGGAGGGGGAAATACAGATGCAGTTACCCTGAAACTCTGATAACATAAAAAGATATTCCTGAATGTTCAGTGATGGGTTGTAAACTTCCCTAATCTTGCAACTGTTCTATGTCAATCAATGGGGATGTACACTGACATTAGTGGGGTTCTGAATGAGTGTAAGGGTACACCCACATAAAGCATTTCTCAGGGTCTTAGCTTTCCTGATTAGTCACAATGTGCAGGTACTGAAATTGGATTTAGATTCTAGAGGACCAGACTGAGTTTTTACTTTCGGAGTTAGCAGTCCATGTTGAAAACCATGTTTCTGATGTAGGGTGAAGAAAGGATGTTGAGGCTTCTTTAAACCTTTTTTCTTTCTTTACCAAAAAAAGGCAGTGGACCCCACCTTAAGGAACAATCCAAGTGCCAATGAACAGCAGCAGCAAGAGGAAAACCTGTCAGAGATGGCACAAAACATGGAACAAAGATTATAGATAATAACGATTTGTTAAAGAGGCAACTTATTCCATACCCACAGAGAGGCAACTGATGAGGAGAGGTATAGCTAGATCAGTCCTGGCTCTGGATTTTTCTGGACATTGAGTAGCTGGTGTTCAGTATAAATGACCTTATGAAAAAAGATGATATTTTAAGGGGAGGAAAGAGGTGAGGATAAGGTAGTTTGGAGAAATCTTTATCATAAATTAGTCATCAGGACCACAGATGACCGGTCAAAGGGGGTACTGAAACTGATAACTGATTAAGGTATGGCTGATTGTCTGGAGCAAAGTGGGATAATATAGAAACCCCTTCAAGTAAGATATGTGCAGGATACTGTACTAGTGATTGGGCTATGCAGCTCTCAGATGTGAGTAATGGTGTGCCTTCCGTGTTGGTTGGTGGTACTATTAAGATGGGCAATATATGTGACACTGGTATTTCAAAGCCTAATTTGTCCTGCCAACATTTTTAGCAGTAGTAAAGAGGAAGAGAAACCAACTCTCCAGAGATACTCAACACCTTGCAGGCTCACATTAATGGCCCACTTCTTCAAACACTTATGCGCCTGTATAGTTTCTTTCAAGTCAATGGGATTACTGATGTACGCAGCTACTTACATGCACATTTGCAGTGTCAGGGCCTAAGAGAACAAGCACAACTTAAAAAGTAAGGATCATGCACCATGAGCTGTATTCTGTTAGTTTATTTAGCAACTGTAGTTCAATGTTCCTTTTTTTATAATATAGAAGTAAATATTTTGAAGTGTTAGTTTTTTTTTTTTTTTAAACTAATGAGGTTGATACAATGGTCTGCTAATAAACACCCACATAATTTGCTTACATAAATAAATAGTGGTTTCTACCCATTGCCCAACAAAGACTTATTAGAGAAAGTCAAATGATTGAGCTTCTACTTCACTTCCACTTTGGGATCCTGTACCCTAGCACAGTGCTGGAATATTTGTGCTGCAAGCTCTGTAGAGGAATGTCCTGTAATCGAAAGCAAAACACAATCCCTCATTTCAATTTTGTTTTCCAAAATTCTGAGTACTACTTACCTCTTTTTTTTTGGCTCCCGAGGACAGCGTTATATCGAGGTAGAGGTGTACCACCCTGAATAATTATGCATTAATATCTTAAGCCTTGATCTCACAATCGCCTCTGTGTGCGCAGACCCTACATCCACAGGGAACCCTGCTGATATTACTGGAGCTGTGGACAGGTGCAGAGGTCTGCCTGTGTGAACCCCATGCAGGCTCAAGGCCCAGGTTGTTGCTGTAAAGCTCCTTGGAGAGGCTGCCTTTTGACAAAACACAAGTGGGGGTGGGGGGGAAATATTCCTCTACCCTAAGTCATAAAGAAATCTTGGGCTTCCTCGTTTCTTTCTTTTTTTTTTTTAAACAGTCCCTACGTGTGTTTGCCTACATACAGCATATGTGTCTGTGCATGACTTTTTTTTTTTTTAAATAGTCTGTTCAGGTTTTTTCATCTAGAATCTTATAGGTAAACTGTTAATGCTTATTGTTATTAGATAGAGGAAAATATTTTGGATTAATGTCATCCTACTGAAGAGGGAACACACAAAGGCCTATATCAGTGCATCATGGTAGGCCTCACATAAATTTTTGGACAGTGATATAAGGTGTTAAGAGCCTACTACAAAGTATTAAGAACAGGAATTGGTTCTGGAAAATTAGAGGCCTCCAGTAAAGCCATTTGTTTGGACCTCCCAGCTGCAGGGTGCAAGAGTTAGTGTGTCACTTTCTCAATCACTTGCCCTACGCTTCTTGTCATGCCAGCTTTAATTTTAAAAAAAGGCACAGTAGGTGATTGTCCAGAGCTAATGTGGGTGTTTGTGGAAGTTTAGTGTTAAGGAAACCTCTGGCATGACCCATCCAGGGCTGTGATTAAAAAGGAAGAGATCCTGATTCTTTAGGAGGTTAAAGTCAGTCTAGCATTTATTCTGTAGCTTCTAGGGATCCTGTATGACCTAGGAATCTATCTGTGGCAGTATTATTTGAACTAGTGTATAAGCACACTCCCATTGACTTCAACCAGCTGCATGTGACTTCCTGCCCTTCCTATGACTGGTTTAAATGATGCATAGTGCCTGAGGTGGGCACTCAGTGCAGGGGTAAATTTTACTCAATACAAATTAAAAGCCTCATCCCCACCAAAACACTGAACTGCAAGCTATAATTGTCTTATGGCTTGTCTACACTACAAAATTAGGTTGATTTTAATTTAGGTCGACCTACAGCCACCGCAGTAATTCAATTGGCTGTTGGTGTTCATGCTACCCTCAGGCTGGCCCGAGCTGCCCCAGGCCAAGGGCCAGGAGCAACTTAGGTCAGCCCTCAGGCGTGCCGGTGGCCAGGGGTGACTCAGCCAGTTGGCAGCCTGGGGGGGGGGGGGGGGGTCAGGCTCGTGCTGGCTGGCAGCCAGGGGTGGCTCGGGCAAGCCCATGGCTGAGGGGTCGGGATGGTTTGGCCAGGGCTTCTCTGGCTGCAGGGGGAGGGGTGGCCCTCAGGGCTCTGGCGGGCAAGTGGGGAAGGGGGCCAGGTAGGTGGGCTATCCTTCCATGGGGGCTCACCCACCGCCCATGATGTACACTATGGACAGACTCTCCTATAACCATCCTTATATTTATTCAAACCTGTCATTTTATTTCTGCCACCACCCTCTGAAAAGTGAGGGGAAAAAACAATAGTTTGAGAGAATAGCTATATTTCGAAGTGTGTCCTGGAAGCTTAACAATCACGGTTCTGGGCAAAAACCTGTGCCTAGATTGCCCCTGGCGTACAGTCTGGGACTGGCATGGGCCCGCTGTGCACCTCGACTCTTTTCCCCCCTGCTTGCCGGGAGCAGCTGGTGTTTTTTTGTTGGTTTGTTTGTTTGTTTGTTTGTTTTAAAGGGCAACAAGACAAAAACTAGCCAACAAGCGACTCACAAGCCAATTAAGCGAAAAACAAGCCCAATTTCTGCGGTTTGGGTTTGTTTTTTTGCAGGTTTGGCATGTCCGATAATGACGGTTACTATTGACAAGACTGTTCTCTAAAATAATGTGCAAAAATATCAGTTAAGAGGATGAAAGAAGTGTGATTTATAATCTAAGGAAAATCTTTCATCTGCCTTGTAGCTGCATTGTGAAATGTGCATGTGCTCTCAATCACAGCAGTAGCAAAAGTCCTTCCCTGGCAAAGCATCCAACTGTGCTATCATAGCTTCAGCCATGTTCAAGAACAATTGATAAACACAGTATAAACCATGCAAGTCAGAACCAGCCTCCTAAATCATCGTCAACCATGTCAGTTGCATGATGCCATACGATGGACTGAACAGCTCTACCAGCTGAATCCATCTACTGTACCCTAGAATTGGATGCAGGGGACTAGACCTCTTCAGCCCCCATGGCAACGGTCCTTCATGCAGCTGTTTTCAGGCTCAGATCACAATGTATAACCGTGTAGTGCAGGGGTCGGCAACCTTTTAGAGGTGGTGTGCCAAGTCTTCATTTATTCACTCTAATTTAAGATTTCGCGTGCCAGTAATACATTTTAACATTTTTAGAAGGTCTCTTTCTGTAAGTCTATAATATATAACTAAACTATTGTTGTAAATAAGGTTTTTAAAATGTTTAGAAAACTTCATTTAAAATTAAATTAAAATGCAGAGCCTCCCGTCCAGTGCCACTAAAAATCAGCTAGTGTGCCGCCTTCGGCACCAGTGCCATAGATTGCCTACCCCTGGTGTAGTGTGTGGCAACAGTATGTAAGTGTGTTTTCAACCTGGTCAGAGAGGATGAGTATAGTAGTAGGTAAAACGTCCCCTCCCCTTGCTCGCTGTGAGCAGGGCAGCCCGATGTAAGGCACTGGGACTGCTCCTTCACCCTCCTGAAGCAGGAGCCTGCTTGATGGGAGAAACATAGGAACACACAGCAAAGAAGAGAGACAGGCAGGCAGCCCCCATTGAATGGTTGCGCCACTTGCGCAACCGCCCCCCTTTCACCCAGTCAGCTACGCAAGCCCGTCGGCGTAAATGCCTTCGCGCATACCGGTGCTGCACTGCGGAGGTGCTGCTATTCAACCAAGCTTCCCTTGCTCGCTCCTCCCCATCTTTGCTCTGTCCCCGCCCCCTTCCTCTGCTCTGATTGGCGGGGGTGGGCGGGGTCTCCGGCGGCGATTGGCTGTTGGTGTGCTGAGGCGAGGTAGGTTGCGCGCAGGGTAATAAAGTTAGTGGGGCTGGCTCAGTGCGCGTTAGAAGCGGCTGCGAGTTGGATCTCTATGGAGGTGGTCGAAGGAAGCTTTTGGCTGCTCCTGCTTGGGTGATTCGGAGGCTCGTCCTGCGTCGTACGCTCCCCCCCCTCCCTACCCCGGTCCCCGGCTCCCTCTTTCCCCCTCCCTTCTCTCGCCTCTCCCCCCGCCCTTGGTAGCCGCCGGGATCCCGTGAAGCTGACGAGGCCACAGGGAAGGTGAGGAAGCCGGTGCCGGCGGACAGCGCTGGGGGGGTACTGTTGTCTAAAATGGCCGCCGCTAAAATGGCCGCCATCTTCTTTTCGCCTCCCCCTCTTTCTTCACTACAAAATGGCGGCCCCGGCCGCCGGGACCGGCTTCTCCCCGTCCGGTGGGCGAAGGGCAGAGACCGCAGCCCGTCCGGCTAGGATGAGAAGCCGTGGGCAGGGACTGGCCGCGGGCCGGGCGTGGGGAGGCGCGGCGGAGGGAGCTGGTTACTGGGAGCCCTTGGAAGGGCGCCTCAGCCCGCTCGCAGCGGGGTAAAGGGGAAGCGGAGAACCAAGTCCTCCGGGGAAGGCAGCGTGGCTCCCGCGTAACCCTGGAGAAGCTGCCTGTCCTCGCGCACATCGGGGTGGCGGGTGAGGGGTCCTGATCTGCCCCGGGGAGGGGCGATTCCCTGAGCCCGACCTGCCCAAGAGGGGGACGCGCCTTCGGGACCCTGATCGCCCCCATAGGGTCCCCTCCCGGGGGGCGGGCGGATGAGCCTCTCGATCCGGAGGAACC